ATCCTCCTCCGAGACGGTGCTGGATCTCACCTTTGCGCCCACACATTAAACAAACAGGCCACTCAATCAGTCTTAATCGACTATCCATTTGTGTGTAAATCAATGTGTCTGCATGCAGCTCAGGAGGCAGCAGCGTTACGCTATGGCTCCTGTCCCCAGTGTATGTGTGTGTGTGTGTGTGTGTGTGTGTGTATGCACATGTTTGTCTACAGTTATGAGGGCCAATTTTGGTTCAATACCATCCTTGTGAGGACATTTTCATCGGTCCTAAAAATGTCAAAGGCTTGTTTGAGGGTTAAGACTTAGGTAATGGTTAGAATTAGGTTTAGGTATTTACTTATGATGGTTAAGGTTAGGGTAAGGGGCTAGGGACTGCATTATGTCAATGAATGTCCTCACAACTATAGAGAGACGCGCATGTATGTGTGTGTGTGTGTGTGATGTTCGACTGAGGTATCGTGCTGACGCAGATCACACCTGCAGCTCTGCCTCCATTAACCTAATGACAGGAATGACATTAATGCTGCACTCGTCAGCACCTACTCTTGAAACACTAGGAGCTTCGGCCAATCAGCTCACCGGTGAAAGACGCTGCCAGACATCAACCCCCCCGTCAGAACTATGGACTGAATATATTACGCAGCATCATGTTACCAGTGATAACATGGTATTTACAGGAAATAAAAGGATCTTATTGCCTTCAGGCAATTACGGCCTGGGTGGCAAACTGCCTCTGTGGTTACTTTCATATCAAAAGCACTTAAAATACTGTGGGCTACATGTAATGACACAGTGGTAATATTAGATCATTTGTAAGAAAAACACAAAAGCCCCAAAAAAACCTTGGTTTCTGTAAAAAGGGGCAAATTGATCATGACATAAAGTCCGTCTCCGTCCCATCAGCCAATCACTAAATCTGTTGTGTTCACTGTCAAAGTGAAGCACTTCATTTTCTTCAGTCTGGCTGTTATGTATCTGCATAATTCCATGAGGTTAGTAACATCGTCTTCATCTGGGATATGAGGAAACTCATAAAGCTTCATTTCAAACTGGATCAGGCTTTTATTGATACAACTGCTTCTACGAGACCCACCAACAGTAAACAAACAATGACATCACCAACTATGATGCGTTGAAGCTGAGTAGATCCAATAAAATGGTCTTTTTTTTCTCCCGGTCAATCCAGTTTAATGTCTTTTTTCCACAGGGTACAAGAATAGGATACATGTCAATGTAATATCAACACCAATAGTGACCATGTGTTCAGAACATGCATACAAGACCATAGCTGCCAAATCAGTTCAGCTGCACTGTAAATAGTCAGACAATAAAACATTTTCACACAACGTAGGATGAGTGAACAGCATTCGTGTTATCCTAACTTCGTTGATAATTGTTTCTATATAAAAATGCCATAATAAATCATGTTTCCTTTAGACTCAGTACTTCTTTCCCTTTTTATGAGTGTCTCTGTACTGTTGTGTCTGCTGCAGTGTGCCGGTAGGAGAGGGATACAGGTTTACAGATTGGCTACAAGAGGGTCTGTGCTACGTGTGCAACACATGGGGCTGATGTGGATTTATAGCCCTCTCTCCAGAACCGTGACCTCTCTCCTTACCTGCAGCAGAGACTCTGCCTTCCCCAGAGTCTTGTCAGTCTCAGATATCCGCTCCTCCAGCTCCGTCCCCTGCCTCTCCTGGCTCTGGAGCTCTTCCTTCACAGCATCGAGGGAATCCTCAGGCCCGTTGACCGCCGCTTCCGCATGGCTCTCCCGCTGAATCTCTTGCTCGAGCTGAGCAGAGCGTACAGAGAATTCGTGGAGCCGTCGCCCGCAGTCGTCTAGCTTGGCGTGGAGCTCCCCCAGCTTCCGCCTCATCCCTCGCTCTTTCTCTAACTCTGCTTGGAACTCCTCCTCCCAGTACTGCTCGTGGGCAAGCTCGGCCTGGTTCCTCCTCATCACTTGCTCGAGTGTGTCCACCTCCTCTTGCAGACGAGCATCAGAGACTGGTGAGGGACAGGGAGATGGGTAAGGACGATCCCAGGTATGTGAGTCTGTCTCTAGGGCTTCTAGCTGGGCCTCGATGGCCCTTAGTCTCTCCTGTTGCTGAAGAACTTTCCTAAAGACCTCCTCTTTGGATGGGCCTATGGGTGGTGAAGGAGAGGGAGATGGAACATGAGAGGATAGAGGGCTGGGAGAAGGGGATGGAGAGGTTCTCTGTTCTGGAGAGTCCCGAGGAGACCTCTTATACTGATTTGCTTTGGTTCTAGGGGAGGTGGATGGTCCCAGGTTAAAGGTGAGTGCTTTCTTAGGCTGGCTGCGTTTCAAAGGCTCTGGCTCAGAATGCATGGGCAACGGAAGGGGAGTTGGTCTGTCTTGTTTTGAGCCAGGTCCGTCACTGCTGCTCGGGCCAGTCCGCCGCAGAAAGAATTGAACTTCGCTGCCATGCTGGCCTAACTTAGCCAGAGACTCCAGAGGCTTCTCTGTGGCCAGCAGCTGCCTCTCCGTGTCCCTGAGACGCTGGATCAGAACATAACGGCCTGTCTGACCTGGAGACAGAGACAGAGAGACACAGAGTGAGCGCAAGTGAACGTCACAAAACCAAAATTGGAAAATTATAGTTCATATATTTGTAAAATCTTATTGATGAGTTGCTTCACAAAGATCTTTTCCTTCTTTACGCACATAAAGCTGGGGGTTCTAAGTGAGCAATGATATGTGAATAAACATCAGGCACATTGTAATGATGCTGATACTTCTAAATCTCTGTCTCTGAGGACTGGAATAAAAGGCTGCTGCGTCAGACTCACACAACATGTAAAAAAAAAAAAATTCAAATAACTTCAAGTTTCCACGAGGACCTTGAAATTAGGACAAACCCTCCCTGACGACTTGGCAGGTAGCTTCACTCATAGACGGAGAGGAGCGCTAAATCTGAGTTGTGTTGTTCAAAGCTACTGCATCGTACGGCTTGAGCAAAAATGCAGGATACTTGGGACAGAGAGTCAGAAAAAATGTATACTGAGCTCCTGGATGAAAAGTTGAGGGCAGAACTCGATTGCAGCAATCGTAACACCGGTGTGTTTCATCTAAATTGTATGAATTGTTGTTTTCTTTACCATAGAATAGGCTCTTTATATTTAAATACTTCATATTTACATGGAGGGGGGGTCCTCTCTGTGGAGGCCGCCATGTTTTTTCACTGTCGTCCAAACTGGACAAACTAAAACCTTTTGAGTTTTTCTGACAACTGAAGTTCACCACACGCTCTCCTTCATGTTTGGAAGGGGAGGGTGAGGTGAAGTGTATTCAGCTGCAACATGAAACTTCAACTCTAGATGTCACTAAATTCACACACTGAACCTTTAAAGGACATGTATGCATATAAATGAAAAAGCAATGTGATGCGTTCCACCTCTTTTGCTCTGCACATTGACTGTTTAATCGCGGGAAGCAAAATAACTCAATAACTGCTCAAATATGATTGGTCAAACTAGAAACAGAAACCAGAACAATTTTGGCCCTAAAATCTTGTCCCTTGCCTACAGATTCTATTCATATTCACATGCAGAATCTGTTTATAGAGATTAAGGTTTTCAGATAAAGTGACTAGCAAACAAATGACAGGTAACAACTAGCTTGAATGCTGGACACAATGATTCCAGAGCTTGAGAGACTCACCAATGGCCTGTGCCAAAGCGATGACCACATCCTGGCAGGACGTCTCCTCGGATAGGCCGCACACCACCCGCACCACTCCGTCCACCCACACTTTGAGCTCCATCTGGGACCGGGCAGCGTGGGTAAGTAGGAAGAAGGTCTTCAGAACAGATCACTTCAGCTTGGCTTGACTCAGGTCAACACGGCATGGCACTGGCTCTGTAAGACACCAACAGCAGAGACAGAGGTGTGTTGATGAGGTTGATGATTAATCCAGACATTTATCTTCCTAGTTGGACTTTTGTAGATGGAGAAACAAAGAAAGACAAGTTCCTTGTGGTGACAGTTTGAAAAGAACCAGCAAACAACACTAGCAGTGATCTCACCAAGTTTTAGATCATGATGTCAGGAAGAGGTCACATACAGGTACATTACAAGCTTGTGCATGGGACGCTTGACCTGAACGTCATTTTGCTGAACTGCCAGTTTCCACACCAGAACAGTGCTGACGTCAACAACGTGTTGTGCTGAGTGAGGGCATCATTGAATTGTTAATTTCAACACCAGCAGCCGATGGGTAGAGCAGTGTAGCATTTTGTAATGTTCCTAGTGGTTAGTTAAGAGCCGCGGCAGTAACTGGTGGACCTGGGAGCATAAATGCCAATCTGTAACCCAATTAAACGCTCTGCTGCCCTCCTTCAAAGCCGTTATGATAGCTTACTGCCGAGAGGAACGGACAGGGAAAGTGGAGCAGCTCAAGTGTGTCTATGTTTGGGAGAGTGTGTTTGCGCAGGGAGAAAGTCATAGAAACATAGCGGGGAGAGACAGAACAAGTGTGTGTGTGTGTGTGTGTGTCCCTCAGTTTGATCCGCCTCAGCAGGACCAGAACTGGGTCTCATCAGACTTCTGAGGGCAGATCAGCAGGTAGCCCCAAACACATCTTGGGCAGTAAGTTTAACCTATAATAATATCATTAAGTTCAGTCCTCACTCTGCTTGCCTGTACCTTTACAGCTCAACTTCAAAACAAGGTAATAAAATACTGCAGTGCTCATAAAAGTGAAACGCCTCAGGCAGCAGTAGGATTATCTGTAGAACTTGGCACAACAAACCAAACTTTGTAGCCTAAGTGGGCAAAAGACAACTCTTCAACCACAGTCAGACAGATGGTGTTCTCTTTCCGACTGTCTCTCGGGTCCTCAATGGGAGTTGTTTGATACCAAGCCCCAACCATTATCTTGCCCCTCATTCAGTGCCTGGCTCTGCTCCACTAGCTGCCTATAGGGAGCTGCTTTGGAGGAATGCACTGACTTCATCTGCCAGCCGGAAGAATTCCTGCTTTTCTTAACAAAGCCCTCACCCTGCCCCTCCCTCCACGCCGCTGACCTGGCTGCCCTCCACCACCACTGTTTGGACGCCAAACACAAACTCTGCTGGGGAGCAACAGCCACATCTGATGTGGCAACAGCACCACAAAGCGACGGTGCAACACGACACCGGCATACAGAGGGAGCGATGGCACGACTCAAGAGATCAAACCTGCGGAACGAGATTCATCACAGGAAACGAGAGAGAGATAGGGACGGATGATCACATGTTGTAAAAATTATTTTAGAGTGATCCGAGCGTGGTGATTTCATTTGGAGAGAAACTTGATATGAAAAAGGGGAGTGCTTCTGAAATCCAAACACCAGAAACTTCAGCACAGCAGACATTTTTCTTTCAGAGGGCACAGAGTGCTCTGTGATGCAATACATAATTAAGCTTTGACTGAGTCACAGAGTAAGTAAAGAATTGCTTCCTCCTAAATGTAAATAATTAAATGAAATGAGGAACATTTGCTTTGGCCAATTCAATTTCTGTAATTCCAAATATAAATGAGAGACACACACACACACACACACACACACACACACACACACACACACACACACACACACAGAGCTGCACAGCTTCCTTATTAGGGATTTACTTTGACTTCATTAGGGACTGGACTGTGGTTGTTTATGCTGGAAAAGGGCCTTAAGAGATAACAAAAACAAGTAGACACACAATTTAGTTTTTGCAGCTTCTATGTCTATAGAACACAACAGAAATATAATTGAAAGTCATCTACTTCAGTTTTGACATTTAGAAAAAAACAGATAATATATTTTAAAATGTTCAATGCTGCCTCACAGGCCTTCATACCTTCACACCTCAGAGAACATGTGAGAAAACTGTTTGCAGAGCTCAAACAAAAAGGTTGAACTCCTGACTTTTTGTTCAAATACTCTACATACCTGCATGTCCTACCTCACTGTATGTCATTTAAATACAGACTTGCGGAGTGTTCCTAACCTGAAGGTTTCATATGTTCCGAACACAAACACGCACACAACGCCAAGCTAAGAATGTCACTCTCCCATGATGCTAATTCCTGTCCTTCCAGGCTGTTGAAATGTGATAATCTGCACTAACAGGAAACAAACAGGCCATGTGAGTCTCAGGTTACTGTCTATTCTCTCTGTTGCAGGCACAACAGCAGTGAGAACCAGACATCCGCCTGACCCAGCTCCTGTTCTCAGAGCAGCTCCGGAGTCAAGTGTAACTTCTCACAGAAATACAGACACAGGAGAAGGAGCTTTATGTTGTTTGTGAAAGGTAAACTCAGAATCCCAGAGCACGCCTAAAGCATAGAATGAAACAGATTATGTTCTGCCAATCAACACGTTCGCTGTGGAGAAATTAAGACGAGATAATCGACAGAAAAACATTTGTTTTCAGAATCGACATGCAAATGCTGTGGACGAGCACCGGCTGCAGACTGCTTAGTGCATATTCAATCCTCGCTCGCACACACCCCTTCTAATCCAAACCACTACGATTATCCAAAAGTCATAATTTCACCCACATGTCAACACTGCACAACCCCACACCACCACACCCCTTCTAAACCTCAGGTCACACCCCGTAACCCCCCTCCACTTCTACTTTCACCCGAGCCCCGCCCACCCAAACAACACAGGGCCACAGTTTCTGATGAAACTCCGAGCTCTGGACTGTCACATGTTTTCTTTAAAAAAGGAGAAATCACAAAAATGTAATGTCACTTTGGAGGAAATCTTCAAACTGAAGTAATCTAAAAAACCTCCCACTCCAAGCTGCAACACGAGCACATCCATATTCACAGAAAAAAAAAAAAAAGCCTCTTGAGGGGCTTGTCTGCTGAATTGAATATAGACGACACACGAGTCCCACTGTTTGATTAAAGAGAAAGAGAGACAGTGAGCGAATGAGAAAGGGCAAGAGTAAATGTGGAGAAAAATCCAGGAAGATAGACAGATAAAGAGGGAGAGAGAGAGAGTGGTGGAGAAAGGAGCAGTGATTGGAGCCATTCCCCCTCTCTCGCCTCTTATCATCACTCACCCATCTGGCTAACCCGCTTTGCGTCTTTCATCACCCTGTCTGTCCCTCTGTCTGTGGCTCATCAACAGCATCCAAGCTCCTCAGTGAATTTGACTCGAGGCAAGAACAGTAAGCATCACAGCCCAGTAGACACACGGGGGCATGATTCAGCTTGTATGTGTGCCACTCTGTCTGAGAGACAGTGTCAGTCTGTGAGCCGGTGGACCGTTCTGGACAAGCTGGGAACCGAGAGGCTTCCTTGAGCCGAAAATGACCCATGTTGTCAACGCCAACGTCAAAGGGTTTGAAAAAAAACATCTGAATTCTGACAATTTTTCCTATTGAGGGCGTTTTCGCACCTGAAAGTTTGGAAAAAGATTCTTGTCTTTGTTTCATTTGATCTGGTTATTCTTGGTTTTTGGTTTCATCAGTCACAGTTACTAAAGAGACAAACATACGTCCTGTCGACATAACTTACTTTGCTGCTTTAGCATCTACTTGACATTATTTACATCAATTAACTTCGTTGCCACTTTAATACCATTATGGTATTAATACCACTAGTAATAGACACCATTGCGCCAAATGAACGTCCCAGTCATTCAAACATTATATCAGTGGAGAAAATGTCATTGGAAGCGAAGACCTCAAGCAATCCTGCTAACCAGCGCATCTCTGTTTCTGGAGAGACCTTCTGTCTCAACTTCCTGCAATTGGTCAGAAAGTTCAAACTATCCAAAAAATGTGTTTTCGCACTGCAAACGAACCAAGACCGCTTCTTTTGGTCGGTTAAAAATAATGGTCAGTTGGTCTAGATTGAGGTCCGTGTCAGCTTTCACACTTGAAACTGAACAGTCCAAAGGTCTGAACCAGACAAAAAGGCTTGACATTTGGCTCAGACAAGAATTGTGGGACACATGCTCTTATTTTTTTTATTCCTGAAATGAGAATTCAATAACGCCCACGCCTTCACTTGCAAAAGCACAAATTCACAAGTTTCCTTGCAGCTGGACAGACACACCCTTTGAAAAGGTTAGAATGATTATCTTAGTCATGAGCAGCGTTAAGAAACATTCAGTAGAAGAGTGAAAGCTTATGTGGAAAAATTCCAAGCATGTTTAAAAATGTACTGTAGTTTCTCAACACCTGAACCCTTAGGCTACATGAAGAGTATGCTTACTGGGTGTGTATTGTGTGAGAGTGTGTGTGTGCATGCAAAGGAAGTACACGATAATGAGTCATACTGGTGCAATGGTCAGGGGTTGGGTGTGCACGTGGTGTACGAGCTTTATGTTTCAGCGTGTTTACGAGCAGACCCACCATTTAGGCCTATCTTTATGAGAGGTTGTTCCAGCTGACCCGATTACGGTGCTATCTGTTCAGCGACAGAAGTCTGAGGAACAATGGCAGGAGTAAAGGTCGGAGTGTAAACATCACAAACTGCCTCAGAGCTGAACCACAGATGGATACATCAACAAGTGTAGACAAACAGCTATCCCTATCAGTATCAGCAGAGAGAAGAAGACCCTGGCCCAGGCTGGTTGAAGTGTACATAATAGGTTCGACATCACTGTTAGAGAACAATAAACAGAGCTGGGAGAAGCTCTGCCCTCTGTGCCACTCTGCTCCAGGTTGGCAGGGACACACAAACACTCAGAGAGCCAGTAACACGCTGGCACTGAGCAGCCTGGTCTCATCTGTACTGCAGAGACACTATTATTGTTGTGGTCTCTTTTGTGGCCTCTGGCATCGCTGCGCTCGTCTGCCACAGTGTGCCGGCGTGCCAGCTTTAATGCCATTCTGCTGTGTCCACGCATTACCACTGATAAAACT